AAAGGCTGCCGGCACATCAATACCATACTTGATTACATTCTCACCTCCGCTGAGAGGCCTCGATGAATATTTATCGATGTAGATGCACACGCACCCTCTCCTTTCATCACATCCGTCCACTGCCCCTCAAAACCTTCTTCACTTAATTTCTTTATGAATATTAAAGGCTGCATTATGTCAGCTCACAGACTGACAGCACTTGAGCTAATCCTGTTATTGTCTTAGCGAGATGGCTGCATCTCTTGCTTAATGTGTCAAAAAACATGCATCCCATTATTTATTTATTTTTTCCCTCTTTCTATTGTTGTGTTTGTCTTATGTTGGCATGGAGACAACCCTAAGTGGATCGGAAAACAATTTGTGGAGGTGGGGGTATGGGTTATCAAAGTGCTGCTTTCAACAGGAATATGCTTGACGTTAATTCTTAGCAAACAATCAATGCCTGGGTTTTCATGTAATAGGAGCGTCGTGGCAAACACAGAGGGAAGGAAACTTGAAAATTAAAAACATCTATCTCAATGATTGTCCAAAGTCACACACAAAAAAAACCTGAAAATGTTCACATTTGACGACACATGAAAATCATCAAAAATATTCCAACATTTTTTTAAATGCATTCCAAGAAAGTATTTTTAAACTGCTTCCTGCAAATCACTTACTGTCATGTGCTGTGGATGATTAAAACACAACATTTTACTCTAAATACTGTGGATGAATGCACCTTGTTTTCAATGTAGTGCAAGGCTACCGGTGTCAGCTGCTTCCATTTATTTTATCTGTACAAAAATAGACCATTATATGCTGCTTGATGTTGAAAACTGTTTTTTTGTTATAATATTATTTTAATTTATTATTGTAATCATAAACACACTGGGTTGTAGTGAAAATAGGCTTAGTGTTTACTGCACTTTCTTGTTCTTCTAGTTATTTATATAACTTGTTTCCTAATCTAGATTTATAATAAAACTGCCATTGTATACAACGAATACGACTGGGTTTGTGACAAATTGCTTATGTTCCTCTCAGGGCTCCAGACTGGGACTAAAACGGTCACATTTGCGACCAAAAATATTAATTTGTGAGTGAAGTTTTTGCTGAGGTCGCCACTGGCGACTACATATATTTAAATGTTATGACATGAATTTGCATGTAATGCCTTTTTTCCTGATTGTTTTGCGATCGCATCATTTGCTATGTTCACGTATTAAACTGAGACGATGCGCATCAAAGTTTTAGTGGAAAAAAGAGTTTCAAACAGCCATCTCTGCAGCACAGCAGTGCTGACACACACCTGTTAAACGCAGCTCAGTTGTGCAGCGCGAGAGAGATCGAAATGACGGAGACGTGCAAGCAAAAGTGTGGAAAAGCAGAGTCTATTTTGTGCACAACTTGAACAAACTACAACAGGCAGTTTTGCCGCTCTTTAATGCAGCAGGCGCGGTCGCTTTAGCGCCTCAGTTCAAGCGACAAGTGAACCATTTATATCTTTCTCTTTACTACTATAGTACAAAATGAACATGAATTAACATCAAAAGGTAGGCTATTTTATAAGAAAGCCTACAGTACAACCTACTGAAATGTTTCACGTAGAAGTTCATTCAGTGTTTTAAACTGCGAAAAACGTGTAAAGCTGGTAAACATAGCAACGTAATATACATTTACCTCAGAATAACCATTCGGTGTCCATAAGCTCATCAGTCAGCTAGAAAAATAACTATAAAGAAGAGCATTTTGCTATATTTATGCACCATTGGATGTTAATATTTTACTTAACCTCTAGTCTACATGATTCAACTTCTCCTATACAAAATTGCATTTTACTAATTAAGAAAAACAGACTGAATGTGTGAAAACCATATGACAACACTTATAGGATGCATTGAGGAGGAGTCCAAACTACACTCAGTGGCCAAGTGATGCTTATGGTCCATGATATTGGTACAGATTCTGTGTAATGAACAGTTCTTTGTGACTGTATATTTCAAGTTGGAAAAGACATTTAATTCCCACTTTAAGTGAACCTTAGTTCCCAGGTCATCTACAAGATTGATTAAAATGCTGATAAATTCAAGAAAAGATGAGACATAATCACATGAAAGTATGATTGAAATGTTAAAAAATAATAATAAAATAAATAAAACACGTTTATTCTGTGGCACCTAAAAAAATAATTTGGCGACTAAATTTTTTTCTTATAGGAGCCAATGGCTCCTTACTCTATTTTTTTGTTTGGAGCCCTGCCTCTATTTTAAGTCACTTTGGATAAAATGTATAAATGTAAATGTAAATAGCGGCTAATGAATCGGAAGTCTCACATACTTACAGGAAATTATTGACTTGAATGCTGAAAATTAAAAAGAAATTGACGTGACATGTGGCCAAGTATGATGCCCATACTCAGAATTTTTGCTCTGCATTTATCCCATCCAAGTGCAAACACACAGCACTACTCATAAGTAGTGAACAAACGCAGAGCAGCGGGCAGCCATTTTTACTGCCCCCCAGGGAGCAGTTGGGGGTTCAGTGCCTTGCACAAGGGCACCTCAGTCATAGTATCCTCATTTGTAAGTCGCTTTGGATAAAAGTGTCAGCTAAATGACTAAATGTAATGTAAATGGTATTGAAGAGAGAGGTCATTCACTCCCCGAGACTCGAGCCCACGACTATTGGGTTACAAGTCCAGCTCTATAACCATTAGGCCATGACTGCCCCATGAGGTGGATACTAAATAATTCCATGTCTCTGGCACTCCACTGACAAATATGTCTATACAGAGCAGTGTTTCAATTTGATGAAAATAAAACAAAAGCAATCCCACATTCTCGATCATTTACAAACATACTGTATGAATTCTCTATGACATTTTCTGAGAAATCAGTGTGTATGTGACACATCATCACTCTGCAACAACCGTACTCAAACAGTGACTATTAAAATATATTAAACCAGGAGTCAAGTTTAAACGGTCAATCATATTCACCAGAAAGATCATGGTGGTTGACAATTTTACTAAGTATTGAACGAAAAGTCTATGACAGTTTGCTAGCTACACCAGCCCTATCCAGAATGTTGATAATTTAATTGCTTCTTTTTTTTACACATCAGGTAAAATGTGTATTCATTTTATATCACAAAAAAGTTTCATATATTGATATCAGCTTAATAAATGTTAATTTACTGAAATCAGCATGAAATCATCATCAAAAATCTAGTATTCATAACGCCTCTCTTTCTGCCAGTGGTCTAACAGGCGATGTTGCATCAATGCAGTTGTTAAGCAGTGCTCAATGGGCCACTAAAAATCTACCACCAAAACAACACAGACTTAAGGGCAGGTGGTCAATGGCTGTGAGATCAAATGTCCCAGCATAAGAACAATCTCATTCGCTCGGTGTTCCCTTAAATTCTGAGAACAATACAAGGATATCCTCTCTGATTATTATCCCCAAAAAAAGCAAAACAGGTTTTACCATTCTCAATCTAAGATAATCAACCCCTGTTGTATATACAGTGGGTACGGAAAGTATTCAGACCCCCTTCAATTTTTCACTGCAGTATTGTTTATGTTTTAAATGGTTCTGTTTCATGCAGAACAGCACTTTTAATCATTTTATTTTAAAGTATCCAGTGAAATTGCCAAATGTCTACGTGTTAGGCATTAGTCTCTAAACGTCTCTTTCCATGTAGTTGATTGAGATAACTAATAACCATCTGTCCCTCCATCCTCTCTCTCTCCCTCTGTTGCGTGGCCGTTTTGATTGACATAGTATATTTGGCATGTTGCCTCTGCAGCAGACAGCGAATTGAATCAGTGACATAGAGAGCCGCTTAGCTCTATTTAATGGCAATCACAGACATATACACACACATACATGCTCACACACACATCTACACACACAAACACAGATGTATATAAATATATAGCACACAATCACAGAAAGCAGTTTACTGATGTATCCTCATTCCTTCGGGTCTAAGATGTGTAAGTTCTTAAAAGAGGCCATTTTTATATTAAGTCGAAAAATAAATGCAATTTAGGATTTGGTTTTTAATTCACAAGAATTGAGCAGGCTAATAATAGAGTCCCAAAAATGCTATAGTAATAGCATGCATTTTTGGGATATGCACCACGGTAATAGTATTTTTGGAAGTACTTTGAGAATAACAATAAATGTCATAGCATACAGTATGAATATAGCAAATATTCAGCACCACAATAGATTTGGTATCAGAGGCAGTTTGCAACAATCTTAGAGAAATAACTGCAATGATGACGGGACTTAAATTCTGAAACTTTTACGTGGGACGTAAGACTTTTTCCTATTAGTTGACTGCTAGTCATAAGTGCTATGATTTTGCTGTATTTTGCCTTTACCTGTAATGTAGCACTAGCACTTCAAAGGACATTTATATAAACAGCATAAGATCTCCAATCCATGATTTGAACTTTTCTCACGATTTAAAGGGATAGTTCACCAAAATTGAAAATTGTGTCGTCAATTTGTTGAGTTGTTCCAAACCTGTATGAATTTCTTTCTTCTGCTGAACACTAAAGAAGTTATTTTGAAGAATGTGGGTAACCAAACAGTTGCTGGTCTCCACTGACTTCCATAGTATGGAAAAGAAAATACTATATAAGTCAATGGGGACCAGCAACTATTTAGCTACCCATATTTTTAAAAAATATCTTCTTTTGTGTTTTAGCAGAAGAAAGAAATTCATACAGGTTTAGAACAACTCGAGGGTGAGTAAATAACAGAATGGCAGAATTTTCATTTTGGGGGAACTATCCCTTTAATGCTGGTGGTAGCTGTTGCTAATCCATGACATTTCATTCTAGAGTTCGATATAAACACCATCTATAAAAGAATGCTAAGTTAAGGCACAGATTCTGCGAGTAAAACACGTTCAATAAGGGGTTGCACTCTGGGAAAGGAGGATGTCATCATTGGTGAGGGAGGAAGAGGGGAGAGAAAGAAGACTCCTTTCCTCTGACTTACATCACTCAGTCCAGCCTCAAGAATCTGCAGACCACTCTCCTTCTCCAGCTGTCCTTGCTGCTCAACTGTAAAAGAGAAAAAAGGGTGACTGAGTGAGAACACATATAACAGGGTATATATAGCATGTCATCAGTGCTGAGATGGAGGTGTGTGTGACAGGTGTGCTTGAGCTCATCTGACTGAGTATTAGGGAGTCTGTTGTTTAAAAATTACTTTCCATATTTGAAAATACTGAAATATATATGAAATGACAAATATCTGCAAGCAACAATCAAGAGGGCCTGAGGACAATGGAAAATGATAAGAGGGTGTGTAAAATGCTCTTCAGGATTATTAGCACTAAGAAAGGATTTTAGTATGTTTAGGGCTCCAGGGAGACTGACATCTTCAAAAAATACACCAAGCAAAATATGTTTTAGCCTGAAACCTGAAAGTACAAACATTTATCCTACTGTGCGAATCTGGGGGCAGTGGTTAAAAAAAGAGCACTGTGTGGTTGCAATAACTGAATTTACTTAGACCGCTGATGGATCAGAATTCCAGACCTTTTTTCAGTATGTGACTATTTCCAAAGCTTTCAGAGCTTTTGTATTGAATAAAAGGTCCAAAAATATGGCACCCTGTGTGTGGGCTTTGTATGTCAGAAGAAAAAAAATAAAAGGATTTATTTGCAGGTAACAATTTGTTTGAGACTGAGCAGTTGTGTCAGATGAACAGAGATATCTGTTCTTTGATAACTTCTGAGAACACTAAAATCAGTGGTTCCTTTCAATAATGTTGTTACATGTTTAATCCTTAAACACATACATAAGGTTAGCCATTTCAAGCGGCATGTCAAGTGCTGCATCTGCTGGCATGACAGAAACAGTAAAGAAGCATGATGTGTTACATATCGGCCAGTTTTACATTTGGCTTGAAGTAAAGTTAGCTTGCTTACAGCCCCAGCAAAGCAATTCAACGTGTTACTTAACTACTTAACATATTACAATTTGTGTTCATCCCCAATAGTTTCTCCTCTCCTCAACACAAACCCACAACAAATCAGCCTGAAGGTCAGCAATGGTTAGATTTAACACAACTGAAAACCAAACCAAACTAAAGTCTGTGCGTCTCTCAAACAGTGTTCATAAGCAGCGTCTCTGCTATTACTGAAAATGTATGTTTAACGGTTTCAAAAAAAAAGTTTTTGCATGGATAATAAAAGGTAATTATATCAAGCATTAAATAGCCATGGTAATAAACTGTTGTAAATATTCTTTAAGAATTCAACAAAAGTTACTATACATTCTAACCAACACCCTTTCCTTTCATTACTCCATGACTGTCTGAAACACATGATTCTGATGACCAGCTTAGAGATAAAATACATGCACAAAAACATTACTTTTGAATCATGCCATGCAAATGTATTTATTTTATTATAGCTAGCCACTGGGATAAATCAGTTTTAGCATGTAACTTTTACTTGTCCTAAGGATGTCTTTGAAGTCATGAAGCTATTTTCATTTAGTGGCACCAAAAGCAGCAACTTCAATGTTGAAATTCTATATTTTTTAATTATTACTCTTTAATTAACATTACATCTTTACATTGCCAAGTTAATAACTGAGGGAAAAACTATTACCCTCTTTTCCGGTGCTCTGTCTGGTTGTCAAAAACAAAAAAAAAACCTGCACAATTAACAGATTTCAGCAACAAATAGGCCAGCAGACATGTTCATTACGAGAGGTGGGAATAATCTCAGTCATTTACTGATCTAAATGTGTGAACAATTACCTGCCATGTTCTATAAGCCATGAAGGAACATAGCACAACACACGCGTGAGAGTGTGTACACTCTAATACTGTATGTGGATTGAAGCATATTTTAGGATGATAGAATCAAACAAAATACATTATTTAAAAAAAAAAAGCTCAACATAAGATGAAACACTTTCTCCTACTTTTGATTCTCAGGCAAGTTGCTCTTTTCCAGCACAGCTTTGATAGTGCATTTAGAGAGAGAGAGTGAATTAAAAGGCTTTTTACAGATTACACAGAAGGGAAAGTAATTATACAGTGTGAAATTATAATTGACTTTGTTTACTTTGCCGGAGGAGGAATGACAGAGGGAGGGAGCGGGGTTAAGAGGCAGCACTGAGATAGTGGAGAGAGAGAACGATATATATAAGAAAAACAGACCGTCAGACCGTGGGAAGATAAGGCAAGAAAAGAGTGAAAATAAATGGCAATGCAAGGAAGCCAAGGCGAAGAATTTGGACAGAAAAGAGAAAGGGGAAAAAGAAACATTCTGAAGAAATACAGAACAGAACGACTGAGCGAGAAAAAAAAAGAGAGAGAAAGAGTTCTTTAAGTGCCCCCTGATGACGTCTATGCTAATGACACCAGCTGAGTTGGTCTCCGGAGCTGGTCTTGTCTGCTGGAGGCTCTTTAATTAGGATTTTAATCTATTAAAGCCCATTCCTCTCGTCCTACACTCTTAATGCTACATTCCATATGATTAAGCACGATGCCTCAGAAAAGTCAACAAGCGACTCATCTCTCCTTACATCACCGTCTGTCTATCTTTCACTTCACTCTCCCGCCTGTGACAGCATTAACGCACGGTCTCTGTAAACAGGTGTATGTGTGTGTGTGACAGAACGAGAATGAGGGAGTGTGTGAACTAATGTATCTATCAGCTGCTGCGGTTGAGAGAAAATGAAAGACACTTTTTTTACTATTCTGCACCACAACATCACTTCTTGAGACAGAGATCATCCAAGCTCGCTAAACATCTATTACTGCCATATATATATATATATATATACTGTTTTGTTGTACAGGCACGGAAATAGAGGCGGCACATATTCTCTCCGCTGTTTGTACATGGTCATTTTTGCCAGCTGAAAATGTTTTGCTTATGTAACACAACAAAAAACATTATGATGTGACACTACTTAAATAATTCAAAAATACATAAAAAAATGCAATTCATACAATGGCTGGCAAACAAGGTAGTTTGGTATAATGTTTTTTTTTTTTAATAATAATAATAATAATAACTTCACCCCTAAACTGAGTATTAAAAAATGTCCAAACAAGAGTCATGTGATGCAACCAAAATCCAGAAAAATAAACCATAAAACAGGAACTGGCCACATGGAGAAGACCCATGCAGACCCTATTGACTGTGTCAAGGTCAAAGTCTCACAATATCACATATTTTGACCTTTGTTGGGCAAAGCAAGGCAAGTTCAAGTTTTTAAATATCTTATTTTGAAAATGTCTACGTCATTTTTGAAATCAAAATGAATGAAATCATGATTTTAAAAAATGTATCTTGAAAAAAGTATCTTAAAAATCTTTTCATTTCACCACTTGACATCTTTAAAATATTAATTTTTCAAAAAAAGTGATTAAAAATTTAACATGAAACCAACATGACTACAAAGAGTATATTTCTAAGCACATGTGTTTTAAGATTTTTTATATCTCCTTTTCTTTATCATGGCCAATCTTACGTCACTGACCCATTTTTGTTAATGAAGTACCTGGATAATGTTAAATAATTTAAAGTAATCTAAATAAATCATACATATTTCAGTGTCACACCTAGGAATGTAGACTATATTCACATATGGTATACAAGAAGAAATACTGTGCCACTATCCATGATTTGTTAATGTGTTTTTCTCCGTAGAGTACCGAAGAAATGCTAAATGAGAGCAAATGCAATCATGTTAACAAACATGCCTTCTCACATTGCATATTCACACATGAGGGACTAAATCTCACTCTCACCTGCGCTGAGCTTTGACCCATTCTTGCGAATGAAACTGCACCCAGGCTAACCTTGTGTCACAGCCAATCCCCAGAACCCCTCAGAGTCTCCATTTATTACAGCTTAGAGACTGTGGAGGCCTCCTCCATCCACTTTGCACTCAGGCCTGTCTGCAGCCACTTTAAATGTAAATGAAAGGCTGGGGACAGAGTCATGGAGCCTGAGCGTTTCTCAGGGGAAAGGGACTGCATGAGGGTAAGATGCCCTGCTTTTGAAAAAATGCCTCATAAAGGTTTGTGATTTGTTGCATTTAGGACTGTATGCTGGATTTGGATGAGGTTAAAATGTAATGAAAGATAAACAGAGAAACGATCTGTCCACAGATGATGACAGAAGATAGCAGCCAAACAATCATGAGCGGTGGTGGTCTTGCAAAGCTGCCATGGAGAGCAAATAACGAGGCCTTTAAAAATGAAAAATATTTTCTTCAGATTTCATATATGACATTTGTCATATTGACAAATAAAAAAGAACATAAGCCCATTTCAGTGCACTATATGAATTACAATCTGTTTCATACACACACACACACACACACACACACACACACACACACATTCTGGAAGCTGCATATTTCTACATTTCTACTGCATATTTTATTCAGTAAAAAATTGTCTTGACTTTCCAAATTATTCAAGACAGCCCATGAAAACATGTGTCAGGCTTGATTTTCAAGTTGTTTTTCAACTGGCTTTAATTGGCTATTGTATCAGTCACTATGGTTTTATTCCAGATATGCATTTCTTAATGTTCCAGCTGTTCCGAAGCCTCCATTGTACTAATAGATTTCGTTTTTGAAAGTCCTCTCAAACACATAAATAGCCAATTTAAATGCATTTAAAATTAATCTGAAACGTTTAGTTTGGAAAAAAAAAAAAATCTTGTCAAACACAAAAAATAGCCCTGATCTATGGTGAAAGGTTTGGCTTCCTCAACCTCTCTGGCATATTAAGCCAAGACCAGTGTGAATGTTTACATATCTACAAATTTAAACAGTTAAAATGAAACAGGTCTATCAGTGATACCATTTGCGTGATGGTATATAGGTTCCAAAACTTGGTTGTAAATGTAAACAACAATTTATATCCAAAGATTAATTGGACAGGGAACAAGGACAACCTGTTCGACTGGCTCTGAATCAAGCTTGATTTGCCTGTGGGCTTTGAAGCAGGGGATTTTATTTAAACCACACTACTCATCAGAAACAAGTGCTACTTCACTCTCAACAATTGTCCTGCAAAAGTCAAGATGTCTGAAGGACTTTTGGAAATTGTGGCCCACTTTAAACAGAAAGTCGAGCATGACAGTAAAACGTAAACAAGTCAACAGAACCATTTGACCCGATAAAGACTGGGCTGTGAATATATTTACAGTGTGCGTCTGATAAATTAACTTTG